CAAGCTCATATAAACTGGTATTTTTTTAGACATGATTATCAATGTAACTCCAATTATTGATAATATCACGAGTCACATCAAGCATGATTGAAGATTTATTAAATCCAAAATTGAGTTGCAAAACGCTTGCCGCCACTTTTAAGGGTTTCTTATCACGTGGAAGAAAAGAGGGTGATCAAATTTGGTGTATTTTCAAATTGTGTTCTGTGTTTACGCTTGAATTGAGATCAAATAATCTATATTATTATTATTATTATTATTATTATTATTATTATTATGATTATATTTTATATATTAAAACAGAGTTCTTATCGACACGTGTTACCCAGGGAGCAAGTTTAGCTAATTGTGCTACGTGTCGTCACCAAAATTCTCGTTCCTTAAACAGTTAAAAATTTATTACTAATACGTAAAATTGACAATTGAATTAAGTAAACGCGTCTTTGGTAATTATTGACAAATATATGACATAAAGAAATATTAATCACTAAATTAATAATTGTATTAAGAATACAGTTTGAAACTAAGTCTAAATACAATAAACATAAGTTAATATTATTTTTCAGATGATTCTGTTTGATATATTTTCCAAAAATTAAAAGATATTAGTTACAAAAAAAAAAGATTGTTACCAAATAACTATATTACGAATACAATTCGAAACTAAGTCTACCTACATTACAAGTATGTTAATATTATTTCTTAGATGATTGGTATATTTTTCATAAATAAAAAGAGACTACTTACCAAAATGAAGAGATTATTTACCAAATAATTATACGAATACAATTCAAAACTAAGTCTGGATACATTAAACATAAGTTAATAATATTTTTCTGATAATTCTATTTGATATATTTTCCAAAAATAAAAATACATTAGTTGCCAATAACAAAAAAATATATTTGTTACCAAATAATTATACTACGAATACCATGCGAAACTAAGTCTGGATAAATTAAACGTATGTTGATATTATTTTTCAGGTTATTCCATTTGATATATTTTTCAAAAATAAAAAGGCATTAGTTACTAAATAATTATACTAAAAATACAATTCGAAACTAAGTCTGTCTACATGCAAGATAAGTTAATATTATTTTATAGATCATTCGATTTAATATATTTTTCAAAAAAATAAAAAGAGATTAATTATAACAAAATAAAAAGAGATTAGTTACAAATAATTATGTTATGAATACAATTTAAAAACCAAGTCTTGATTCATTAAATATTGATTAATATTATTTCTCAAAACATTTTATTTGATATATTTCCAAAAATAAAAAAGAATTAATTACAAAAATAAAAAAGATTAGTTAACGAATCATTATTCTCCGAATTTTCTTCAAAACTAAGTTTAGATACATTAAATATATATTAGTATTATTTTAAATTATTCCATTTGATATATTTTTCAAAACTAATAAAAAATAGTTATAAAAAATATATAGATTAGTTGCCAAATCATTATATTATGAATACAAGTTGAAATCAAGTTTAGATACATCATACATATGCTAATATTACTTTTTAAAATAATTTTATTTGATAAATTTTCTAAAAATAAAAAGAGTTTATAACTAAGAAAAAAGTTATGAGTCCAGATAAATAAAATGAGTCCTGCACCCGCCAGGTACAGCCTGTTTTGCTATTAAAAAAAACTAAAAAAAAAGTTTGGAGTATAAATAAGTATTTCAAAATTATTTATTAGTTTTTTTGTCATGTTTTTTCCCCCTATTTTTTGTGCTTTATTTACTTTCGTTGGAATTTTCTTTTTTCTTTTATTATTTTGTTTTATGCCTTAAAAAAGATTATTTATAATATTTGATTCAATTATTACAAGTAAACAATATATGTTTTTCAGTCAATATATTTTAAGAATATACATGCTTTAATTTCTTTTGTTGAAAATAACCTTTATATACTTATATCCCTAAAAAAGTAGGATAGTAGACAACTGATCATATTAATTCGTATTTAAATTTTTTCTTGATATACTATTACTCCTAAACAAGAAGCATATTAGATAGTTGAACATATTAATTTGTATTTTAAAATGTCCTATATGGCTAAGAAGTACTTGATCAAAGTGGTAACTGTATTGGACCAAATTAACTACAATCCACGATTAAATCTGTGCATGGGCATGTAGTAATGATTGTTGGGAGAGGTTTCTCTTCCAAAAGTGACCTATCCGATTCAAGAACGGATTAGTTGGAGCAATGATTCCAAACACCGGATGCACTTGCGTGAAATTGTGCACCCGAGACCGTGGGAAAAAGGGGAACATAAATCACCCAAAACACAATTAAATCAGACGATTGTGGTTGAGTTTGAACCGGGCTCGGACCAGAATCGAGGACTTAAGGTTATTGGCTTTAGTTTGAGAAAGACGGGTAGGAACTTAGAGAAAGTGGGGAAAAACCAAAGAGACGGCGTTTGACTCATAAAGTGGAAAATCCTAGTGTCGGCAAACTATAGACGGTGCCGATGACATACTATTACATAGAAAGAGACAGAAGACAACTATGACATATTAGCGCCAACTAGATCTTGTCGATGACACGCTATGACACAGAAGACAGAGATAGGACGGACGTGCAGAGGGTAGTCCGGCATACATAAGTGTTAGAACACCTATTACAGAATAACCGAATTCGTCGAAATAGAAAACGATGAACACCTACCTAATTCTATGTAGGAGAAAAAGGCAAACAACTCTATTTATAAGCTAGGGGCTAAGCAAGCATGATAAATCGTGATGAACAACCATACGGAAGGTAAAAACATGCTAAACGGTAAAAGAAATAATAAAGGACAAGGAAAACCAGTTGTATGGTTGATCGGTGATGATTTTCTCTTCATGACTGCCTCTATTTATAGTGCTTGGACGAAACCCTCGCTGCCCTATGCTTTCTTGGAGAAAAGGTATCTTAATATAGTCAATTTCCTTGGAAACAGGTTACTATTCTCGCAGCAGTCTCCCGATCGGTTGATGATTCTTTTCACAATCAGCTCTTATTTTGGTAATAGAATTCTTTCCCAAACATATTTCCTTAATCACTAATAATTTACCTTATAAAAAAAGATCAAGAAATCAAGAGGAATCTGCCTTAATTGCCAACTCATCACGCAGCCGACTCCGAAACAATTCTATTCCCACTTGACTTCTACTTTCCTTCTCTAATTCTGAAACTGTTCACACTCAACCATCCTATATTGATCACAAACGTATTTTGACCACTTTTGAGCTATTTTAGGGCCTTAAAATATCATATAAATCTACCAAAACTCCTCGGCCGTGAAACATATCTCTCGTCGGCCCGACTTGCCAAAAACTGACTCAACATAATGCCCCCTGAACGTTCATATTAAATATGACTTTGATATGAACGTTGATAAACACATTGCTACCACCAGCCAGACGCATTCCATGCTTCACTTAGATCCACATAGCACCATCCAACCAGATACATAAAATAATACGGTACCCATGCATAATGTAAATTGATGGAGACCATCTAGCTAACACTAATGGAGAGGGACATGTTGCTGCCAATAATGGAGAGGACGAGCAAGTTGAGGTCGTGAATGCTAATGGAGGATCTAAAGATGCTGCTTTAAAGAATAATCCTTACATCCGAGATGCTGCTTTAAAGATCCACTCTCAAACATTGTTGGACCAATGACTCGTGCTAGACGCAAGAGGATGAATGAATCACTTAATAGTCTAATTGTTACTACATGGGCTAAGGAGGAAATTAAGCTTGAAGATTACAAGCCCAAGACTATTAATTTGTTGCAAGTAACACCAAATGGACATAGCCCATTTGGAGAGAAGAATTTTGGCCCTCAATCCTCAAAGGGACCACCGGCCACATCTCCTCATGTTGGTCGAATTGCTCCCTAAAGTTTAGGGGTAAGATCATTCAAATTTTATCTCTTTGAAAAAGAAGACTTTTATCTCTTTAAAGGATAATATTTGGGATGATTCTTTTTATCTTGTTTTTCGAGTTTTCCTCTAATAAGGAGTCAGCTTTTGATATCTACTCAACCGTTGGATGAAGACTACATCAAGATGGATGGCTAAGATCACTCTACAAAGAAGATGATGATAGAGTTTTAACTCAAGGGAGATTCTATCCATTGGAATCTTTCTAAGAGATTATCTCTTTGTATTCTGAGTTTTAATCAATTCCTACAAGTCTTAAATGTTTTAAGACTAGTAAAAGTGTCTAGGTTCGTTATCTTATCACTTAAGATAACTAGGAGTCTTTAGAGTTTGATTTCATTTCAGATTCTTAGAGATAGGAATAGAGGTGAAGAGTTGTGTTCTTCCTCTACTTCTAGGGAAGAAATTTCGGCCACCCCTCTATATATAGGGACTGAAATCCTCTTGTCCAAGACACCTTTGTGTCATTGATATTTTCCTGAGTGAAATTGGTTAGGATTTTATTCCTTTCGTGGAGTTCTTGTGAGGACTTCTTTGTTTGGTTGTTGCATATGTGGTGTGACAATTGTTAGACTTATCTATCTTGTTTAGTCGCTTGATAGTGGCGTCTTTAGCATTGGATCTTTCAAATCTTGGTATTTGGGTTCATAGATCTCATATCTATTGGGTTTTCTTACACAATTTTCCAAAGGGTCTCTGCTTGGTTAGAATTAGCTCTCTTCATTTTTTATTTGGGTTTTTCTACCATTGAACTCGTGAATTGATCCACGTGAGGTCAAATATCTTCAAATATCTTTTCTTTTCTTTGTTTTTTGTGTGTTCTAGAGTCTTTAAATCCGAATTTTCCAAATTTCGCTGCCTACAAATCTCTGACTTTCCGAATTAGCAAAGTTGGTCTTTTCTTAAAGATTGGTTTTGTCACGGATTGTTATCATAAATAATACGGGTTAAAGAATGGTACATGCTTACTTCTTTGCGATGGTTGAGGCTTCCCCTTAAAACCACTATCGGATCTAGAACTAGATTTGGACTCTTGTGATCTTTGTCACCACGAGTAGATTCTATGATTTTTCTCCTTTTGAGTCATGTTAACACTGAGGGCCGATTTTGGATTGAATCGGCCATTTGAAATAGGAGAACTAGAAGCATTGCTCACTTTTCGCTTCTCGGCATCTTGAACTTTATCACCAGAAATGGAACCTTTGCTTTTGACCTCCTTTGTGACAGTTGACAAGGACTGACCTTGAGAATTATTCGGAGAAGTAACCATCTTGTTATGCGGAACCTGAAGGTGGCTGCCAAATTGTTTAATAACTGGATTTGCCACGGTAGCTCTACTAACTGTACCCGAATCATTCTTCTTACTGCCTTTCTTGTCTTGACCATGAAAAATCAATGGAAAAGTAATCGGCTGGTCGCATCTTACCTCAGGCTAATTGCCAAACAGTATGAAAACCAGGTTGGAGATGGTAGGATCACAAACTGTATCAGAACTGATTTGCTTGCGGCTCTCTTAGAACTGATCTGCTTGCGGCTCTCTTTTTTGTTGGTTGCCGATTTCACATTGGTTTCACTTAATGCTATGTGAACCAGGTGCCTATCCTCATCTTTTAACTGTGACTCAACCTGTCGTTCTTCAATCGGCTTAATGACTTCTATCTCTGCTTCATCATTCTTCAACCAATTATCTTTTTTGCACTGTCTATTCTCATTAACCTTCGGTTCATATCAGCATCCTTTTTGGCCACTATATTTTCAATATGAAATGCTTTGATCCTTTTTGGTGTAGACCCAAAAAGTTTGGCATAAGCTCGAGTGCAGCGCCTTTTTCCTTGACCTGCTAATGATTTCAGGATCCTCTGATCAGCGGTCAACTCAAACTTCCATTCTACAGCAGCACCATAATTCATCCAAGCAATTTAATTCTCCTGCTGATTCTCATCGGATTTAACATCAACACAAAGAGAATCGGCCCAAGAAAAAGAGTTTGTAGACTTGGCTTTATCGGCATGACAAAAAGAATGTTGCATGGACTTACCTTTACGCTTTTTGTTGCTGGACCTCATGGAGCCTCTTTTGTCGTAATTCCATGCATGATTGGAGTATCTTTTAGCTTGCAAAGAAACAACTGTTTCCTCAGCTCGATCTCCACTAGAACCAGTATGCCGAACTTGACTTTTATTACCACTTTGGGACACTCTCTACTCCCGACAACTTGATCTTGCCCATATTAGCACGTGAGCTCTTGTGTCTTCAAACAGTCTTGACCCAATTGCTCAAGAGAAACAGAATCGACCGATGAATCAAGCTGCCGAGTTTGATCACCATCATTGCAAATCAATTTCATGGATACCTCACCAGCCACAATTGATGTAGTCGTACTTGTTTCAGCTTGATCAACACCGAGTGTCATCAATATGCTTTTATCTTGTTGACTAAACTGTGAAGAAACAAAAGCTGATGCGGCGGCTGCCCCATGCTGCAGACCATTGCAGATTGACCCCTTCGACATTTCATCAGCTGCCAGCGAAGTGTTTTTAGTCTCATCACTATCAATCATTATCAATCGGCCTCGTTCTTGGTGACTGAGATTTGAAACATTTGAAGCTATGTTGGTTATAAAATCAGCCTGTCGAACACGATTATCGTCAGAAGACTCGTTCTTTTGATCTTGAAACACGTTCCTTGAGCTACCTTCAATTGATAACAATTTCATCTTACTCGTAGTAGAAAAATCAACCCCGGATGAATTCAAGTGACATTGTTCTTCATGCTCCAATGGTGATGAACCCAAAACTTGATGGGAAGGGCCAGAATGCCGAATGTGACCATGATCATTAAAACTCATATCCACATCTTTCAAACCATCTTCAATGACAGCTTCCTTTCACTTGTTTCAACTACATCGATCTTGAGTATCGTCGAAAGGCTTTGACCTTGATGACCCATAATTCTACTGTTTGTAAAACTGTTATCACCATGGTCTTGAGGTTTTGCATTATACCAGTCTCTGCAACCAATTTCCTCGTCTACCTCCTCACTGCTTGTAGACTTGACTTATCCGCTTTGTAGGTAAACACACTCTTGAAATCCATTAACATCTATGGAATCACCAAAACATAAAGATTCAATTGCTATCTCCAACGTTGGAACTTGGGACACGTATTGGACCATACTTTCAAATTTTCTCATACAAGCCTCCATGTCTTTATTCAAACCATCAAACATTTCTTCTATGTTCACCATGGACGTATGAAACTGACTTCGGTTATCATCAACCTCGGCCAACCCACTTACGTTAATCACAGATGATGGTATCTTGCAAGTGAGCCTCTACCACCTCTGTTGACAATTACAGGACTGAATCGAAAACTTGAATCAACATGATATTAAAAAATATCCATACCTTCTGGACTGAGCGTGTAAGGATCCATGGAGCAAACAACACCAAGTTCATGTGTATCATTGTAGATTGTTGATTGTCCAACGGTTCGCTCAAACTGTAAGTCATGACCATCCCGTACGCAAGATATATCATCAGCAACTTGCCCCCGGGGCATCAAAGAAATTTCTTGAGAATAGCAGCCATCTGAATTAGTCAACCCTTTATCAGTCAGTAACAACATTCTCGATTGCCGATCCTGATCATGAATTCTTTGGGACCCATTGCCACTCTAATTGGCATCACAATAACTTGTACCAACACAGATATGTTTCTTGTTAGCTAGCCATTTTTTTTGAACATACTGCCCAGCTGTGGAATCACCAACCATGTGGACCTGTCTAGAATCTGTATACTGTTGGTGCTGCACCAGTAAATGCTGAAACAACCGTTCATGCGCTGAGAATGTCGGACACCCATTCTGCTCTATCGACACTTGTGACTGATTCTGCATTGATTGTATCGGAACGTAAATCAGCGAAAGTGATTCTTGTAACTAACCTTGTTCCGAATGAAGCAAACTCTGAAAATATTTACTTGGCACTAGTTGCTGAAGAAACTCGTTGTTTCGCACCATCTGTCTCTGAAAGTGTAACGTCTGCCCTTAGAACTCATCAAATGGTAGCGTCTTCTGATCAAATGGCATCACCCACTCATGAAACGCTGCTGACTGTTGCTGAAACTGATGGGAATGTATCACTTGTTGCCAACCATGTTGATCTTGTTCTGATGATGACTGCAGTTCCTTATCCTGTGTTTGCTCCATCGGCAAATGACTTGCTACTACCGCTAATGTAAAGTGAACTTCCTGATCCAACGATGGCTCTCGCAATGGCTCTAATTGCTCCATAGGGCTTGATAGCTGATCCTGCATCGACAATGGTAAATTAGAACCCGAAGATCTAACAAAGGCAACTCCACCAATTCTTGCAACTGTATCGTTTCATGTTGAAACTGTTGATCCATCCACCGTGCGATCGGTTGATAACGTACTGAAGATAACTACTTTCCCTCTGTCGACTGTGGCACTTGCTGACACTGTGAAGACTGCTATAACTTTATCATTGATTGCTCAACTCGCCGAGGCACTCTTGATGACGATTGCAACTCTCGGAGTGATGCCCATAATTGTCGCATCCATTCAAACTCTACCAACAATAGTTGTTGCATTTGTTGGTGATGAGAATCATATTGCCTTCCATGGTGATTCTCCTAGTGAGGGGAATGAGCTAGTCCTTCATTCTAGTTATGGAATGCCAAGTTTACTTTGCAGGCCAATCAAGGAAGAAATGATGAATCTTGACTACCTATGTGATAGGGAGTTGGTTCAAGAGAGCTATGATCAAGAAGATGAGAATGTCATTAACTTTGGGGTTCAAACCAAAGGAGATGATTCACTCATGGAAATAAGTGCTCAAGAGCATCCAGGAAGTTTGACTCTAGGTGCTCCATGAAGATCATTGATCAAGCTAGAGAGAAGAGTCATTTAGGTTCTTGAATGGATGGCCTATTTGATCAAAGTGTTCAAGATTGAGTCCATTGCTACACAATTTGATAGGATGCAAACTATCTCAATTGTTTCAAGTGTTTTTCTAATCTTTTGGAGTCAATAAAGAGAATTCTACAAGTTTTGGACTAAATTGGAGTTATCTACAACTTGAGGGGTGCAAGACCAATATTCCACTTTTAGAAGGGCGTTCAAGATATTTTACTTCAATATTTCGAGCTGATTTTTGAGAATTAGAGTCCTATCTAGTCTAGGAGTTAATTTTTTATTTTATCTAGTTAAATAAGTCATGTGGACTGAATTAAACTAGAGTGTTTTGATTAGGAGTCTTAGATTCCTTCTAAGTATTATCCTATTTGAGGATAAGTCATTTAGATAAGGTTTCCTAGGTTTTAAATAGAGTCAAAGAAATCAAATACTCTTCTAACTCTACTCCTGCGTGAGATGAGATTAGAGAGTCCTAGTTGGTCTTCTTTTTGGTGCTTATGGCCGAAATTGCCAGCCTATAAATAGGGGGGGTATGGCCGAAAGTTAAAGCACCCATGTGCGGTCATTATGAGTCTTCTCTAATGAGAGTTTTTCCTGTGAGGAATTTTTGTTAAATGGTGTGTCCATTTTTCGTGTCAAGTATGATTTAACCAAGAGGGTTTTTATCTTGTCTTGGATCTTTTGATCTTGCAGAACCGTTCTTTTTCAAGTATGCTTCTTGATAGAATTTTTTTAAAACTAAACTTCTTATTTTCATACTACTTCTAGTAGTTCGAGAGTTGAGCCTTTCTTTTGGCTATGGTTTTCAAGTTCATGATGTGTGTGTTCATGAGTTCCTTTGTGGGGTTTGTCCTACTTTTGTTAGATGAGTTGTGCTTAAGCATTTTGAGATAGTATATGTTTTTGATAGTTATAATAAAATCCATTTTGTTATAATGTTAATAGTTATATTTTGATTATGTTTTTGAAGATATTAATGGATTTTATTATTATTTTGTGCTAGGTAATAAAGCAGTGAAAGAGGGACAATTTGAGTTTCTGCTGGCTGTTTTACGGAGTTAAAAGATGAAAAGTTTTCACCACAAGAAGATGAGGCAGAGCTAGATTTTTGTTTTGAAGATTTCTTTTTACAAAGTCCAAGTGAGCAACTAAAAAATCTTTGACCCAAATCCTCAACAACTTGGAGATATATTAGAAATAAGATTTCTTAAGATTTTCGGTTAATGACCAAAAGCATTACAAATACGCCTTGATTGATCAAACGAGAGGCAACCCCCCTTACCCCACCGTAGTAACCATTAGGCTACTACTTCCTCCCCTCCATTTTGGCCACCATTTTCTTGTAGTTTTATTTTATTTTTTTATTTTTTTATTTTCTTTAAATACTTTAAGATGTTTCTAGTCAGCATGAGTGGCTAGTTTTCTTCATTTGGTTCAAGGATTTTTATTCTTTTATATTATATGTGAGACTACAAGTTTCATTTTATTTTTTCTACTTTTGATTCAAGTACTTATTGATTTTGATTTATTTTTATGAGTAGATACTTGATTAATCTGACAATTTAATCAAGTATTTTCTTCCTACTTCTACCAAATTATTTATGTTGCGTTATCGTCTTAAACATTTGGCACTAAGTAGCACATTAGCAGATTATGCATATTGGTAGTGACACGTTGAATGTGCATGATTAGTCTAACTAGGGGATCAATAGGACAAAAACTTTTTAATTGCAGTTATCTCAATTATTTTAATTTTTTTTGGTTCAACTACATTTTCAAAGATTTTATTGCTATCATAATTTAATATGGAACGTTATCGTGCCCAGTTAAATTATGATAAGTTTTGATTAGGTGTTGGGCTTGGTCAAATAATTTTTTAGAAAATATAAGGTTTTTTTACGGTTATCCTATTAAACTTACGGTTGAATGCTTGATTTGTAGAAAAATCATTTTTAGTCGATTATCTGTAATATATTTGAAAAATATTCCTTGAACCAAAGTTTCCATTCTATTAATTTTTCTTAAGTTTATTTACTTTAAATTTTGTCATTTTTATTTTGAAGAAAGAAAAATCCCCCCATTTTGTTAGTTTTACAAAGCCAAGTGTTAAAAGTCGGCTCTCTTGGAATTCGTTCTGATTCCACTGTTTCTACAATTTAATTTTAGTCTGTTTAAAATTCAGATTAATTTTTGCGGGTCTCGACAAACTCGTCAAAATTTTGGCGCCGTTGCCGGGGAGCCATTTCCTTTGGCTGTTGGTTTTATAATTTCTTTTTTTTTTAATTATTTTTCATATTCCAAAAAGAAAAAAAATTATTCTTTTTATGGCTAAGTGTATTGGTTCTTTTGTATTTTGAAAAAAAAAAAAACTTGTGTACTTTTGAGTGCGTTACTTATTTGCCCATTATTTTTTTTCTTTTTTTTAATTCTGGTTAAGTAGTATTTAAAAAAAAATTCTGATCACTTTTTGTTTTTGTTCGTTTGTTTTGTCCCTTATTACCAAAAAGAAAAAAGAAAAAAGTGGAGCAAGTAGTTTTATCATTTTTCTTTTTTTCTTTAAGCTGTAAATTTTTTTTCCTCCACTAATTACTTTTTACTTTATTTCTAATTTAAAGATTGACTCCTGATAGATTGTCGATCATCTCCTATCGCTGGCCATCACTTCCGATCAACAAAGTCAGAGACTCTGGCATTTGATTTTTTCCGAACCAGCGGTGCCATCAGAATCTTTTGCCTTGGTCCAATTCATTTCCTCCGTTTGTGGTCATCATCAACATCACCGTTGATCGGCTCTGTCCGGTGCTCAATATCTTCAATAAATTTTGAACTTTCTGGAGGTGTTTTGAAGTCGGAATTTGCTGCCGCTGCTACTTCTGTCAAACATAATCCTTCCGACGAGCCAATTCATGAGCCGCGCTCCACTCCCACCACCGACTACATTCTCTTTCCTTTCTTTTCCTTAATTATTTGTTTTTCTTAATTTCAGGCTATATGCTTTTAATCTTTGCGCTTAATTTTGTTCTCCAATTGCAAGTGTTCTGAGTTTTTTTTTCTCTCTCGTGTTATAGAACCCAAAGGGAAAAAAAATTCAGGCGCTAAGAGTATCTGATCAACAATTCTCCACCGATCTTGCCGCCCCAGCCGACTCTGTTTGGTCAACTTGCTGCTACCTGTGTTCATTTTGCTTTCGAAATCAGTAGCAGTGCATCGGTCTACCCTCCAATTTGAGTGTTTGGGGACTGTGCAAAATTTTTTCCTCAACAGCAGCCATTAACAGCTCAATCCAGGGAGCAAAATATTAATTTTGGTGGAATAAGTATCTGTGTTTTACTTATTTGGATTCGGATTGTTTAAGCTTTTCCTGCAGTTTAATTATATCTGTGCTTAGTTTGTTTATGAAGTTGCTGCTCGATAAAATTGGATTCTTTTAACTGCTTAGAACTGAAAATTCTGTTAGTTGCTCTACTGTGGAACAAAAATTATTTTTGTGAAATCCGTAGTGTTATTGTTTGAGTCTCTTCGAGTTTTTGTGCAACTTCTCATTCTCTGTAAAAACAATAATAATAATAAAAATTCTTCCTTCCTGTTTTCATTATTTTATCATACTAATAGTTGACGGAATTTTATCATTTTAGATTGTTAGTTTTTGTGCATTTTCTTGAATATTTCTGGTTTATGAGTAGTCGTCGTACTAGAAATAGTGATCTTAATTACATTCCTGAGATTGAAAAAGCTGTTTGCTTGTTAAGAAAAGAAGCTAAGAAAAAGAAAACTAATTTGCATTCTAGGGTGAATTTAGATTCTTCGTCATCAAATTCTGATTTTGATTCTCAAGAAGAAAAAAACATGGGTGAAAATAATAGAACTTTGAAAGAACTAGCTGCACCAAACTTGAATCAGCAGCCTCTGTGCATTAATTTTCCAAATGTTGAAGCAACATTTGAGCTTAAATCTGGTCTGATACATTTACTTCCTACTTTTCATGGTTTTGCAGGAGAAGACCCCCACAAGCATTTGAAGGAAACCACAGGGTGTTACTGAGGAGCAGATTAAACTAAGAGCGTTGCTATTTTCTTTAGGTGATAAAGCGAAAGACTGGGTGTATGATCTTCCCTCAGGTTCAATCAACAAATGGAACGAGATGAATAAATTGTTCTTGGAGAAGTTTTTCCCTGCTTCACGAGCTGCAAATATAAGGAAGATACATGCGGCATTCGACAGATGACAGGGGAGTCCCTTTATGAATATTGGGAAAGGTTTAAGAAGTTATGTGCTAGTTGCCCCCACCATCAAATTCCAAACC